AACCTGTACATAGACCAAGAGGCAGTTGTTCAAACAGAACAAGGGGATACTGCCTGGCTTCAAATCAGGAAACGTGTGTGTCAGGTTGTGTACTTTCACCATACTTATTCAATCTGTATGTTGAGCAAATAACCTGAGAAGCTGGACTATTCAGAGAAAAATGCAGGATCCGGATTGGAGGAAGATTTAATAACCTCTGGGATATACAGATGACACAACCTTGCTTGCTAAAAGTGAAGAGAACTTGAAGCACGTACTGATGAATATCAAAGACTTTCAGTAAAGAGTCCTGGTAACTTAGTGGATTCCAAGCTGGACTACTAACCAAGGACAACAGTTTAATCTACCAGTCACTTGATGTGAGAAAGATGAGGCTTTCAGCTCTCGTAAAGAATTATAGCCTCAGAAATCCTATAGGGTCACTATGAGTCGGAATCAACTTGATGGCGCGCAACCACCACCACCACTACAGCTTTCAGTATAGATTATACTTCAATATAAAGAATTAAAAAGTCATCACAACTGGACCAATAAGCAGCATCATGATAAATGGAGAAAAGATTGAATTTGTCAAGAATTCCATTTTACTGGATCTACAATCAGTCCTCATGGAAGCAGCAGTTAAGAAATCAAACAATGTATTACATTGGACAAATTTAATGCAAAAGGCTTGTTTAAAGTATTTTGCAGCAGATTTGTCTGTAAGAAGCAAAGACTTAAAAATTAAGAAGCAAAAATGTCACTTTAAAAATTAAAGTGTATCTGCCCCAAATCATGATATTTTCAGTTGCCTGATATGCATGTGAAAGCTGGACAGTGAATAAGGAAAACAGATGTAGAATTGATGCCTTTGAATTATGGTGTTGGCAGGGAATACTGAATATATCATGGATTGCCAGCAAGAATAAATAAATTTTTCTTTTAAGAAGTACAGTAGAATGTTCCTTGGAAGTAAAGATGAGGAGACTTTACTTCATGCCCTTTAACATGACATCAGGAGGGACCAGTCCCTGGAGAAAGGCATCATGCTTTATAAACTAGAGGGTCAATGAAAAAGAGGAAGACATTCAAAGAGATGGAGCAACAGTGACTGCATTAATGGACTCAGACATAGCAGTGATTGTGAGGACGGTGCAAGATCAAGCAATGTTTTGTTCTGTTGTATATAGAATCTCTGTGAGTGAGAAGCAATTCAAAGGCACCTAACAAAAACAGCATGGATGGTGGCAGTAGAGATAAAAAGAGGTCAGATTTGGGTTACTACATTTTCTAAAGGTAGATTTGGAAGGATTTGTATATGAGCTGGATGTAAATACTGAGAAAAAGAAAATAAGGATGATGCCAAAGTTTTGAATATATGAATAACTATAAGAATGGAATTGCCAATTACCTAAAAATGGAAGGTTGTAGAAATTTACTTGAGATGACAGGAGTTGTAGGTTTGGTTTGGGAACTGCTTTAATTGAAAACAGTTTTAATTATTAGATAGTAAAGTGTGGTACTGCAGGTTAATGCACTGAACTGCAAGGTCAGTTTGAACTGCAAGGTTGGTAGTTCAAGCTTACCAGCTGCTCCTCAAAAACCCTATACAGGGTTGCTATGAGTTGAAATTGACTCAACTGAACTTACCAACAACAACAAAAAAGTAAAAGTAAAGTAGGAGATGGAAATCTAGTATATGAATCTGGGATTCAGTGGAGTGAAGACAAATTTTAGAATTAACCCGCAGTGCCACACCAAGACTCCTAGAATTATCATGGATGACATTTAATGCTGTAAGACCAGAAAGAATCTACTAATAGTAGATAGTCTTTAAATGCCTGCCATATACAATTTAAATCTATTTACATTGTCTTTTTGACACTGTCATTTACGTAACACTCATTCACATAAGTGCTTTCAAATATTATAATTCAAGTTATCAAATTAATAACTTTCCTATGGACTTTTTCCTAATTTCTGACTGTATAATCCAAGTATCTTTATATCTAAAATATTTGTAGATACTTAGGATTCAACTAGGAGCTCTGGTAGCATAATGGTAGCATAATGGGCTGCGAACCGCAAGGCCAGCAGTTCGAAACTACCAGCTGTTCCATGGGAGAAAGATGAGGCTTTCTGCTCCCGTAATGATTTACAGCCTCAGAAACCCTATACAGGGTCGCTATGAGTCGGAATCGACTCCACAGCACACAACAACAACAAGGATTCAGTTGTTTCAAATCAAAATTGTTCTCCTTCTAGTGTCTCAAATGATATCTTCATTATTCTAATTGCCAGGAATCAGAACCCCTGTCATGATTTAACTTCTCTGTGCCTGTAACTACATTTACCTAGTCATAAAATTTTATCTGTTCTGTTTCTAAAAATTTTTTCTTTCTTACTACCATTCATTTGGGCATTTTAGTACATCTTAACTTTTCATCCTCACAGCCGAATTAGTCTTCTTTATGCTTAATGGTTGGTTGGAGTCAGAACTGACTCATGGCACTTAACAGCAAACAACAATGCTGAATACTAGTAGTATAGTAGGTTACATGTTGGACTGCTATCTGCAAGGTCAGCAGTTCAAATCAGTCAGCTGATCCTCAGGAGAAAGATGAGGCTTTCTGCCCCCATAAAGATTTATACCCTTGGAAGCCTTACACAGGTGTGAGTTGGAACTGACTCAGTAGCATGCAGCCATACTAGCAGCACGCTACTGCTCTAGTAAACTACCTTTAGTAGCTCCCCATTGACTATCAAATTTTCCTTCTACTTTTATAGCCTAGCTCCAGTGTACCTTGTAAGTCTTTTATCTGATTCACACAACTTGTGCTTCTGTCAGATCAAAGAACTCAGTGCCTCTAAAGTAATGCCTACACGTTCTCATTCACTTTTTTCTTCTTGAAATCTTCAACATCAGTCTTTCTTTCAAGACCAAGTTCTCATCTATAAAACCTTTTCTTATTTTCTTTCTTACCCTTCCTTTCCAACATGATCTTTCGTTCATGTTAAAAACCTCTCCTTGTATTTTAAAGTACGTTTTTTTGTTATACTTTCTATCACAGCTATTTTTATGCATATATAAAATATCCTTTAGATCATAGCTCTTTGAGGGTAGAGACTCAAAGAGTTTTAATCCCCTTTGAATTTTCCACAGACCTAGAATACTGCCTAACACAACAGCCTATTATTTTGTTTACAATGAGCCACAGGAGTTTTATGAATACCTTATATGAACTTCTTTTCTTCTGAAATTAAAAAAAAAAAAAAATTCAAATTTATTTATTCAAAGGGAGATTCAAGATTTTGGTTCTTTCTGAATCTATATTACATTATAGTTACTTTCCTTGCATAAGTTTTATGGATATGTACTGAAGTAAGTGGAAAAATAAAGTAAGAAAGGGAAAGAGGAAGAATTCCAGTATCTAGTAATCAGTTCATTCATCTATCTGTCCATCTGTTTGTCTATCCATCCAACCTCTATTGAAATGAGGCTTTCTGCTCCCGCGAAGAGTTAAACCTTGGAAACCCTACCCAAGGTCACTATGAGTCAGAACTGACTCAATGGTACTTCACGACAACAGCAATTTTAAAGTGAAATAATAAAGGTGTTTCAAAACATGAAAATGGCAAAGTGTTACAAAATAAATTATTCTGTTTAGAATAATTTTTGAATTGGTTCTTTATTGAAAAATGTAATTTCTTTAAAATATTTGTTTCAAGTAAAGATTTATATTACTACACATTGTTAATTGCTTAATAATTTATTTTTAAATATGAAGATATTGAAAATATGATTTTAAATTTATTAGCTTAAATAATATAATAAATTTAAAACAATATTTTTCCCTAATAGCCTTTCAAAGTCATCAAGTAAATAATTCTGCATGTAAGGTTTACTTTAAAATTTCTTTTTAAAGCTGTAGAACTCTTTGCACTGCTCAATTTCCTTGAACGTTGTCATGAATAGTACATTATAATTACTTAATAAATAACAGTTGAATAACGATTTATGCAATATTTCTCAAATCTAGCATTTCCTCTATTCCCATTGTTAAGGTCAAGCTTTCATTACCTCTTCCCTGGACAATAGATATTTCTTCCTTTGTTATCCACACTTCCAGATACTCCTGTTCCAGCTGTTCTACACATTCTTTTATGAGGCATCCTTATAAAGCACAGTTCAAACCATGTCATGTCTCAGCTTGAAAACCTTTAATGGTTTACTGTAACCTACCAGATAAAGTCCAGATTCTATAGTTGGGCATTCAGCAATCTTTTGAAGCTCATTTTTAGTAATTTCCTTTCACATCTGTTTATTATTTCTCAGTGCTCCTGCTAAGCTGAATTGATTTTTGTTACCCTTATACTTCCTGTACATGCCTAGTTTTGTTCCTCTACACTATTCTCTCTTTATGAAATGTTCTACCCCACTTTCTACCTTGTATGCTAGTTCTTTATATTCTTAAATTCAAATATCTTGAAGGGTTTCAACTTGAGTGTTTTATTTTAATTTTCCACAGTATCATGGGCAATGATACAGTTAAATGGCTACTTAATGTATGGATTAAATGTTACTACACATTGTATGTGGTATACTATAATTTGGAGTCCTGGTGTGGTGCTGTAGGATAAGTAATGTGCTGCTAACTGCAAGGTCAGCGGTTCAAGCCCACCAGCTACTCCTTGGAAACCCTATACAAGGTTGCTATGAGTTGGAACTGACTGGACTGCACTAAATAACATACTATAATTTGGTGGTGGTAGTTGTGTGCCATGGAGTCAGTTTCAACTCATAGCGACCCTGTATAGGATTTCCAAGGCAGTAAATCTTTACAGGAGCAGAAAGTCTCATCTTTCTCCCATGGAACAGCTGGTAGTTTCTAACTGCTGGCCTTGAGGTTAGCAGCCTGACTTGTAACCACTACGCTACCAGAGCTCCTTTAGAATTCAGTAGGGTTTGCAAATTTTATATAACATGAGTAACATGGAATTGTCATATTTATCTTCCTCAGGAAACTTATTTGAGAAATCAGAAGATGGTTTTACATTTTCTTTTCCACCAGACTCTTCAACTCATACATTTGTATCTGGAAAAGATGATTTTAGTTTTCCGTTTCCATTTGATCAGGATCAGAATGTCACACATTCTTCTGCTGTAAAAGATTTCTCATCTTCCTCACAAAATACAACACAATTTACCTTTTTTTGATCTAGTTTACTAATTTCTTGAATTGTTTTACTGTTCTTCAATTGTTTGGGGCATAAATTTACATTTTTACTTAAAACAATAAGACTATCCACTTTATTTGTTGATTAAATCAGTAATGGGTTATAATTGTTGTCTGGTTGTATTAACATATATATTATCTGATTATATTAAATATTTACAGAAATTAAGCCTATGTATGTTATTTAATTTTTTGTAGCATTAGCTAAGTATTATTTATTTTGGTTTTGATTTTACAATTCGTATTCTGACAGAACCTTTATTAATCTTGATAGAATTTGGTACTTTTTTCCATTAATAATTATTATAAATATTAAACCAGATTCTCTCTAGAACCTAAGTTTCACACTGGCAGTATTTTAGTTTCCTTGATAAGAACAAGAACTACTTCAAGCACTCAGGAGACGTTTGAGTGACAAATCTACAGAATTAATGCTGAGGTGGTAAACCATTTTAAAATGATTGGATTTCATTTATTCTTCAATGTTTATACTTCACTATTCTTATACTGTTAGAGTATACAGAGAGGTTACCGTAGTAACAATCTCAAAGAATTTATGTTGTTGATAATGAATATTGCCTATGTTACTTTCTTCTAATACAACAAATGGTATAAACAGGGGCAATAGGTTACTGTGATATCTTTAATGAAAAGAAATGAAATTTGAAGGGCTAGCATAATTTCTGAAAATCTAATTGTTTTATCAATGATGATGCTGTCTATTCTTTTCCTAAACCTTTTTTGAAGAATATTCAATATTCCGTTTACTGTTTTCAACAGAAAAGGATTTCACTTATTATTTTATATGCAGTATTTATTTGCTTGTCAATTAATTATATGTGGCTTAAATAAGGGTATGTAAAATTTGATGAAATTATATAAAATTGTTCAATATCTTTGTATTTTGTGCTTTTTTATTAGTTGTATTAAGCTATCATAGAATAAAGACTATAACTCCATTTTTTGATGTATGATTACTGACAACTTTAAACCTTTACTCTGGAGTCTTCCCCTTCTTCCCTACATCTGGGCAAGCTGACAAGAAAGCCCAGGTACATCTTCATTTGGCTCCAGCATGAAGTACATCTCATCCAAGGAAGTCCTCACCCTGGCCTCACCCTCTAACCACCATAAACACCCAAAGCCAATTTCTTTTCTCTTTCTTAGTTTCTAACCAATTTGAGAGGCCTATCCTGCTCTCCCCAGAAAGCCTTAAGGTGTGACTATACTAGTAAACCTTTTCACATCTTGTTGATCTTAATATGTGAACCAAATTTTGGATCCATCTTGCTTTTCAGGGTAGCTACACCAGAAATTCAATTAAGTCTTAGCAAAGACTTTCAAGAAGCTAGAAGAATGACTTAGCTAATGATGGATTTTTTTTTTTTAAGTTTTTATTGTGAATTATAGGTTAGTTTACATGGGTGAACATTATCTTTACATTCTTCCTATCATATTTTGTTTCATTGCAATGATCACAATCCCCTGCATGCATCATCAAACAATCAAAGGATACACTCCACATGCCTACTCCACTATCTCCCCCTCCCTGCCCCAGCCACCAGCACACAGCCCCTGTCCCTCCCTGAGTCCAGAGTCCCCAGCCGCTTCTGTCCACGCCATCTGTCTCTGCCTCCATCCCTAGTGTCACTGCCTCCCCAGACAGGGTCTCTCCCTTGATGGTTCCAGGGATCTCTGCTCCTGGACTGCTAACTCAGCCACTCCCCTCCTTTTGTTACCAAACATTTACATTTAGCTTTCCAACACTCACTGTCAGACCTGATAGCAATCATTCCCTATTGAACCACAGGAGTCCTTTCCCCCTCACCTTTATCAACCCCTCCAGACAGGTTGGAAACAATTCAGTGGAGATTCTACCTTTCCCTGTATCCTCTGGAGCTAGGTTCCCTATTGAAAGCTTGTAAGTCAGTCACTTCTTGCCTTTGTCGTTCCTCTATTTGGGGTAGCCAGTGTCTAAGCTCCCCATTCCTGTCGACCCTGTGTACCAAGGGGGTGGGAATGATCCTTACTGTAAATATTTGTCCACTCCTTTGTCATACTGCATCCACAAATATAGGTCAAGTTCAACCACTTGTAGTAGGTTACTCTTTTTTTTCCCCCTCTTCTTTCTTCCTCTAGTTGTAGTCTGATCATCCAGCCATTGATGCCAGGTCAAATGGGTACTGCCTACAAGTGTGGGTGTTCTTGTGCATCTCCCCTCACTTAATGATGGAATTTAATAAAACTTTAGATTGTGTTTAAAAAAAAAAAAAAAACCTCAACAACTGGTTGAAAGATGAAAATTTCAGTTAAAACGCTGTAGTTTTGTTTTCCTATCAAATATTTAATTTGATTGATCCCATGAGCCCTTGGTGGCACTGTGGGTTAGGCATTGTGCTACTAACCACAAGGTCAGTAGTTTCTCAAGTAGCTATTCCTCAGGAGAAAGATGAGGTTGTCTGCTTCCATAAAGATTTACAGTCTTGGATACCCAATAAAGTGTCATTGTGAGTTGAAACCAACTAGATAGCTGTGGGTTTGGCTTTAGTATGATTGAATTGATAGTTTTTGATACTATAAAGACGTTAACTAAATATGAAGAAGAAAAATTTGGGATGGGTTTATTTGGTGTTTATTAAGAGATTCAAAACTGGTTTAGCCTCAGATGATCTAGTGACCTGATCGTTTATTTTAAAGCAGACATATGCTTAGCACACCAGTGTTGTCAAACTTGGACAATGAATAAAGAACACTGTAGAAGAATCAATGCTTTTGTATTGTTCTGTTGGCGAAGAATATTGGAAGTATTATGGTCTGCCAGAAGAACTAACAAATCTGACTTGGAAGAAGTACAGCCAGAATGCTCCTTAGAAGCAAGAAAGGCAAGAGTTTGTTTCTTGTACTCTGGACATGTTGTCAGGAGGGGCCAGTTCCCAGAGAAGGATATCATGCTTGATGAAATGGAGGACCAGTGAAAAAGAGGAAGACCCCAATGAGATAGATTAACACAGTAGCTCCAGCAGTGGGCTCAAATGTAACAGCAATTGTGAGGATGGTGCAGGACTAAGCAGTGTTTCATTCTGTATACAGGGTCGCTATGAGTCACAACTGATTTGATGTAGCGTAGTGGTTACGAATTGGGCTGCGAACCTTAAGGCCAGCAGTTCAAAACTACCAGCCATTCTGCGAGAGAAAGATGAAACTTTCTGCTCCCGTGAAGATTTACAGCCTCGGAAACCCTGTACAGGGTCGTTATGGGTCGGAACCGACTCGAAGGCACTTAACAACAACAACAACTTTAAAACAATTTATTCTATCTTGAAATCTACTTGACTTCCTCTCCATTTGAAAGTTCTATAACATTTCCTCTTTTTACTTTTGCAATTGTCTTCATTACAAATTGGTATTTCTAGTTCTCTATTCCCAGTATTATAGGTTTTTTATTTTGAATGCTTATCTTCTTCTTCCATGATGTTAAGGAAATTTTGTTTCAGCAGATCTTCGACTATCGTTTCTGTGCTTTTCTTTGTCTCTTCCTGTTCTGGAATTCCGATCACCTATAGGTTCTTTCTCTTCATGCTGTCCCACATGAATGTTAGCCTTCTTCAGAATATTTTCATTCTTCTAGCTTACTAATGTTGACAGATTTATCTTCCAGCTTAATAATTCTGGCTTCCATTTGTTCTTTAAGTGTATTGTCCATTTCTGATATCTTGGTATTAATCTTCTGGATTTCTGTTTGCAGGTTTTGTACTGTCTCCAATCCTTTAACTTTTTTGTTTGATTTTTCCTGTAGCACTTTTCTGAATTCTTCCTGGTTTTCTTCAACCTTTCTGTCAGTCATTTGTAGGTACCTAAATATCATTCTTCTGAATTCTTTTTCAGATAGTTTCAGTGCCTCTTTTTCCTCAAAAACATTTTCTAGTTCTGTTTCTTGGTCCTTTGTTTGAGCTACTGTGTCCTGTTTTTTCATGTGAATAGAAATGGTCTGTTGCTTTCATGGCATTGTTGTGTTGTTTTATTTGCATTAAGTAGATGAATGTATGTTGGTATATTCTTAGACATTCACTAACTGCCTCTTGGTGGGTGTGATCAAGAGATGAGCTTGTTGTGTGCTGGGGGCCAGGAGGCAGACTTGCAGAATGTGCCCTTTGATTGGTTAAATGGATGTATATTCCAGAGTGGTTTTGTGTACATTTAAAAAAAACAACAAAGGGAATAGAAGCAAATACTGATGATGCATGGAGGGGATTGTAATCATTGCAATGAAATGAAATCTGATAGGATGACTGTAAAACCAATGTTCTCCCATGTAAACTATCACTTAATTCACAATACAAACTTTAAAAACTTAAAAACAAAACAAAACACAAAAAACCCAAGATGAGCTTGTGCACCATTCTGTGTTCACTGTTCATGAAGTTCAGTTCAGGGTGGATTTAGCTGATGTTGGATGTTAGTGTTGATCCAGTGTATAGCAACTGATATTGACTCCAGCCCAACTGGAGGTGGTGTAGAGGGTACGACTGTGGTTGTGCTGTATGGCCACACTTTCTGTCTCCTTTGTCTCTGCAAGCCAAGGTATGTTTTCTTGTCTATGAAACCACTCACAGATGTTCAGGATGGCTGCGGCAGGTCCCATTGGCCCCTAAAGCTCAGCCAGGTATTTTATTTTAGATAACTTCTATATCTAGGCTGATGTCTGGGTATAAGGTTGATCTGTTTTTTGTGTTTTTTTCAAATTCCTTTGATTTCTGTTTATCTGAAAATGTCCTAATTTCATTGTCATATTCATTTATCTGAGAGATAATCAGAGAAAAGGAGGAAGACCCCCAGCGAGATGGATTGGCAAAGTGGCAGTATCAATGGGCTCAAGCATGGCAAAAATTGTGAGGTTTTAGTGTTTTGTTTTGTTGTGCATGGTGTCGCTATGAGTTGGTACCGACTTGATGGCACCTAACAACAACAACAAACAACAATA